ACACACACACACACACACACTCCTGGAGGTCTGCTCGATTAATCGAAGGCTTGCGAGCAGCGGACGGCTTGCGCCAGAGGCTTGCGAGCAGGCATGTGCTTTTATTTGCCTCCCTCTCGCTTCCGGGGGGAACTTCCGGTGAGTTGTGACTCGCGGACAGTAAAACATCTACAAAACAGGCTACGTGCATACGATACAAAAGCCAATCATAACGACCCCTGGAGTTTTCCATTCTAAGGTAATCAAAGTCTACTTATTACTACTAGAAACCCAGTTCTCTGTTACTACAATACCACGCTTCTCTCACTTCATCCACTCGCTCAGCCGATCTACGGCGGGAAGTTAAAAATAGCTTCTGCTCTCTACGTCTTGCACCAAAACAAGCACAGCCTCTCCCTTCCTCCACAGTTCAGAGTTCACACTACGAACAGTAGTGCCGCAGCAAGTGATTTGGCAGGTTGCGAGCAAGTCATGGGAGCCAAAGCAAATCATGGGAGTCAAGAGATTTGCCGGGTGCGAGCAAGTCAAGGGGCACAAAGCAAGACATGGGACGCAAAGCAAGTCTTGAGACTTGCTGTGCTGCGAGCGAGATTTGAGACTTGACGGCCGCCCGCAGCTCGCAAGCCTTCGATTAATCGAGCAGACTCCAACTCTACCGTGCAGTGACACTCTGAGCGGGGTCTCTCTCTCTCTCTCTCTCTCTCTCTCTCTCTCTCTCTCTCTCTCTCTCTCTCTCTCTCTCTCTCTCTCTCTCTCCATCTTTCTCTCTCCTCTCTCTTTTTCTGACGTAAGTGGCGAAGCGGATTGCTAGCACGGAGGGGAGGATGAAGGGGTCTGACACGAGTGGCTTCGCGGATTGCCAGTTGGTATGGACTGAAAGCTTAGGCTAGACTCAACTTATCATGCTTATGATTTGATTTGATGAATTGACCAAGTGATTTGAGGTTTGTGACTTGAACTAAGGGCTTGCGAGCACGAGTGGGTTTGCTACCGGGGTACGGTTCTAACAAACACGCGCACACACACACACACACACACACACACACACACACACACACACACACACACACACACACACACACACAAACACACGCACTCGCACGCACACACACCCCAAGCAGTCGGCGATGAAACTAATCTCGCGTCGCCTAATGACGTAGCCCATCACGAGCTACGCGGCAAAGCGAGCCCGCCACGGCCGCGGACAAAGGCCTAAAATAAAGAGAAAGTGTAATAATCTTTGTATACACGGTCTTTGAATGCACTTCAATGATAATTACCAAGATCTTTACGATAACTGGATAACTTAAAGTTAAACGGATATCCTGAACTTCTTCAACCCCTTTGAACGGAACAAGACCTCTGTTGACTTCCGGTAAACTCCCCCAGAGGCCCGGATTGGTTCTTGTTGTTTAGCCTAAATGTTTAATGTTTATGCAATGGCGGCCTTCGAAATGTCATTTGACTTGGTACTTCGTGACTAGTGTCTAATTTCTTGTATCCCCTGATGTGAGTAGCTTATATTTGCAGACATAGTTGTTGTATTTACTGGCTCAGTTTTCTTTCTCTTGTTTGGATCAAACACGTCTCAATGAGAGGTACAGGGCCCTTTGTTGAAAATTTAATCGAGACTGGACTTTTAAAATATTTTTTGTCGGCGCGCCTTTGCCTCTGCTAGCCAATTGCATTGTCGGCGCGCCTTTGCCTCTGCTAGCCAATTGCATTGTGCCATGGTTTCAGTTTTAGTTTCAGTTTCGCATTTCCCCATAAAAGTAGGTCTAGATCTAGATCTAGAGGAAGCAGGTCATATCATCATTGTCGTGTTACTGAAACGAGCTTCTAGATAATCTAGGTCTAGACTAGCCTATAGTTTAGATTGTTAGATTCTAGATTCTAGATCTAGATCTTCTAGATCTAGATCTAAATAGATGGCACTCCAGTTCACTGGTTATCTGGCTCCCCAGTCTGAAGTCAAAGTAAGTAGATCTAGCTTAGTAGGGTGGGGTGGGCCTGGGGAAGTAAGATGGAGAGAGAAAAAGTAGGCTGCGGTTATAATAACCGTTATTCGTACAAGTCCGAACCCGCCCGGAAGTTCTCGCAAGATCAACTCCTCCCCTCTTCTTTCTCTCTCTGTCTCTTTCTGAATACTGTCTATCGGTGTGGACGATCAAATTGACCAAAACAAAGTTAAAAAATGATGTTAAAACACAAAAGTAAATTAATTTGGTTGTCTACAAAAAGATGCTACGGCTAGATCTATATTTAACTTTTCGAATCGAGCCGAACTACGCGGGTCGCCATTTTGTTTTGCCCGGAAATTCTCGCGCTACTCCTCTCTCTCTCTTTCTCTCTCTCTCTCTCTCTCCACTGCCCACAGACAAAATTGTACGCTTTTAGTAGGCTACAGTTGTAATGGAACGTTTGTTCACGGCACAGAATTCTACAATTTTTCCTCACAGTGTAGAATTCTATGGTTTAGGGTGAACGCAAAATTTGGTGAACGCGCACCGGGTGAGAATAGCCACAAGACTCGCCTGCACTATTCTCACTCCGGGTGAGAATAGAGGTGGCCTAATTGTTTACTTTCTCGTGATTAATTCTCGGGGAGGACTTCCGTAGCCGTAACGAGGGACCACTCTGAATTCTATGATGATGAATATCAATGGCCATCAAAATCAGTACGGAAGGTCTAAACTTTAGACTAAAGCCAGTATGATGTCACTAGATATTTAATTTAGATCTAGATCTACCTACCTACAAATGATGAAATTGCCGTGGTTTCTGTATTCTTACTTAATCCCAACGCAAAGTTTTGAATATCCAGTCGGGGAAGCATAGAGCCTTGTCTAGATCTAGAATCTAGATCTAGATCTAGATCTAGCTAGGCGCGGCGGGAATTAAACGCGAGAAGTAAACAATTGCCGTCAGAACAACTGTAGTTAGTTGTCCGTACAATAGTGCGAGCAACTGTAGTTTTAGTATCCTTACAATTGTGCCAACAACTGTATTTATTTAGTGCGAACAACTGTCTGTACAATTTTATTGTGCTCTATGCGAATAACTAACTAGTTATACATACGTACAATTATTCGAATTGGTTGTTAGTGTGCTTACATTTGCCTAGATCTAGATCTAGTATTTTAGTCTAGAGGTTCTAGTGGTGGGCAAGGACTTACATTTTCAAGAAGGAAGAGGCTAGCCGTTCTTGAATGATGGCTAGACTGCCAGGCTAGCTGTACGGCTAGACTGGTTGGCTAGCCGTACTTAAGTACAGCTAGACAGCCGGGCTAGCCGTACTTATTCTTAAAAATATGATGGCTAGACTGACCATAAAAAAATATTCCTACTGAATTGTAAATATAAAATGTTTAGTTTGCAGTACACCTAAAGTATAAAATTTGTATTTGAGATGAAACCAGGTGCCTTTAAAACCCTTAGAGTGCTGACTTCTTTCCCCTTATATTTTCCCTCTGTGCTGAATTTATTTTGGAAAAACGCCAGATTTGCACATATGTTGTTTTTTTGCTAATAACTTTATTATTTGTCAAAATTTCTAATGAAGATAAGAATGAAAGTTCTTTGTGAATATGTTCAGCAAAAAGTATTTTGTGAAGTTATTGTTGTAGTATAGTGGTGTTGGAAATGACTGAATAAAAACTGCTGGTTCATTAGATCTCTAGATCTAGACCAGAGTCTAGATGCTTCGTAGGCCTACGTTATATTCCACAAAGTGTTAGCTCTAGCATCAATACCCTCGAAATCATCTTCCAATTCAAGTAAAATACGCAGAACATTTTGGTTTCATCTGAACCTGATGCGACACTATTTTCATGTTCGTCACGGGTCGCAATCGCGAATTTTCCGACTTCACTATCACTCGACTTTAACGTGAAACAAAATACTCCTCGCTCCTCGATCGAACCCAGTGACAAGGAAAATGGCGGCCTAAATAACCTACCAGCCAGCAGTATAAAAAAATTAGTACTTTTCGTTCTTTTCGTACATCGCGTTTTATACTATGCCAATGTCCGGTCGCGATCAGCATTTTACGGAAGTTCGGGCCGTCGCGACCACCGCGATCAGCACTCTAAGGGTTAATAACAGTGCATGTATTTTAAACCTCATATATGTTTTCTAATGTTAATAGGGCCCAAGGTAAGTAAGTACGGCTAGACTGGCAGGATAGCCGTACGTACGGCTAGACTTCTTGGCTTAAGTACGGCTAGACGGCTAGGCCAGGCTAGCCGTACTTAATATGGCTAAATTGTAAATGAAATTTTTAGTTTGTAATGCCTAAAGTATATTTGTATTTCAGACAAAACCAAAAGGTGCCTTACTGACTTGCATTTATTTAAACCTGAATATTAGATCTAGATCTT